AGGATCAAAGGAAGCAAAGTTTCCTTACTTTAGCAAAGGAAAACCAGTCTCCTCTTGGCTTATATCGAAATCCTACGATATTCTTCTTTACAAATCCTCGTTTTGTACTTCTAATTCTTGACCGTTGTTTTGTTTTGATCTCTCCGCTGCGTTTCCGCATGCGTCACTTCTGAGCGGCGCATGCGCAACGCCGACCTCATATGTCATTCCCCTGGAACTGCTTCAGTTTACAACAGTGAGCGCAAGCTAGATTCAAGTGATTATTACGTTTTGAATATGGATATTTTTCTTACAAAAACGCATCGATTCGCTAAAGCAGGCCTTTGTTCACCCCCCGGAGCCATGTGAGACTTTTTATTTAACTTCTTTTGGACTGAAACATCCACTGACTGCAATGATAGAGCTTGAAAGATCAAAGACAATTTTAATATAACTCCGACTGAATTTGTCTGAAAGAAGAAAGTCATATACACCTAAGGATGCCTCGGCGGTGAGTAAAACGCAGCCTAATTTTCATTTTTGGGTGAACTAACCCTTTAAAAGGATAGTTCACTAAAAATGATATTTCTGTCATTATTTTCTCACTCGTGGCATTCCAAACCTGCGTGCTATGAATATCAGAATCCTCACAATGCTCTTTTTCATAAAATGACAGTTCATTATGGAAAATTAATTTTTATGTGAACTATCCCTTTAATTGAGACAACTTCAATGAGATCAACCAAATACAGATAGTCTTATTATTTAATCCTTCCAAATAACACTGTCCTAACCACCATGCAGGATCCTAACATTCCAAATTAGGAAGGACTTTTCTAAAAAAAACTTTTCCATGTTTACAATAATGACAAGAGCAAAAATAATTGTAATGTTGAATGGCACAGAACCTGAGAATAAAGGTTCCTCTTTTTCCCTTTTAGGAACGTGTAAATGCAAACATGTAAAGTGATAGAAACAGTGAAAAGGCTAGAGCCCTATGAGCCTTGAAGTCTAGAGCCTTCTGCAATACGGAAAACATGGATGAAATCATGGGATCCAGTCATGAAAATGGAATTTACTGTATACTCAGCTGCCTCAATATATGAGTACATGAACACATAAACAATCTCTAGAACTGCTCTGAGAGTCATTTCATGAGCATTTTACCATCTCTTTTGAGTAAAACTATGATCATGTCATATACAAACAGAAACCTAAAGGTCTTCAAAGCAACCTGTCAAAATAAAAGTTTGGTTTAACTTGAAGAAAACTTTACAGAAATACTAAATGTAATGATAGTACTACTACTACTAATAAAATTATTATTAAAATATTATTTTTAAAGGAATATTTATCAGCAAATTTATTTACCAGAATTTATTTAGTAGAAAAATGTAAATACACAAAGTATTTCTGAGGGGGGGAAAAATCAAATAAAAATATTTTTTTATGAAATCAATTAATTAGAGATGCTTTTGATTATTAATATTTAATGAAACCATTCAAATGGAATCCAGAAAATTTATGGAAAACAGATTTTGTCAAATTTGGTAAAAATAAAACTGAATTGGAGAAAAAATATATATATTTCATAGGACCTTAAAATGTAATTTTTGTTCAACTTTTAATAAATTCCTGTTTAATACTGTAAGTTTCATGATTTCAATTAATCAGACATGCTTCTGATTAATAAAATGTTAATTTAACCATTAAAACAGAGTATAGAAAAAAATTAAAGCAGGAAAAAAAACTGAATCTAGAAAAGATGGAATCGTTTAAGATGGAAAAAAAACTGAATTTGGGAAAAAATAAAACAAATTCATAGGGCCCTAAAAGTCCCAATGCTGTAGGACTGTAATTATCAGAATTAAAAAACACTCCTTGACCAATTAGATTTGCAGGCACACAGTTCTATAATGTAAGTTAGAATGTTCTAATGATGTGGAGAAGAAAAAGAAAACAAAAATAGAATATTTAAGGAACAAAGAGCAGCTTTGTAAGCATTGTAAACATCAAAAAATACAAAACACTGAAAAAATTGTTCGCTCCACCTGTCGCTAAAGGGAAAATGTGATCTAGGTCACTAAGTGAAGAGCGATGAATGCAAGACTGTCCCAACTGTCAGTGACAGTAGACAAGCCTGTCCTCTAAACAACACAGAGCTGTGTCATCATTTAAAACCAACTCTGAGCAACACAGCATCATGACAGCTTTTATCTCAAACAAACATGGAAATTAAGAGTCTTAACTGCACATGGAAACTGTTCTCGTACCTGTCAGTACACACACAGCTGCCTGTCCCATTTTGACTTTAAAGAAATGTCACAAACTTAAACTTTTCTTTGTTTTCTTACATATTCTACACATCAATCATTCACCTTCTCAGAAACCTTTCCATCTATTTCATATATCTAAATCCATCACCCTCACAAAAAGATCCTCTCTCCTGCTCCTAATCAGAGAAAACCACAAGTAATTGGATCTATAACTATTTGTTCCCTCCAGCAAAGTGGGAGCCATAATTATGCGATGAATTCCTCCCCCCACATCTTCTGGATTAAAACCAATCAGAAAAAATATTTTATTTATTGTGAAAACTGCATCTATTATTCTGTGATTATAGGCATCTAAAGTGAGGCAGCTATCAGCTCACTTAAACTATAACATTTCACTCCTGTATTTAAGAGAGTGAAAAGGCCTTTCATGGTTAACTGTTAAAGACATAAAAAGAAAAAATTTCAGGATGTGTACAGAATGTGAAAAAATGCACTGCATGTCTTTAAAACATTTCACAACACACAATATACATCACATCTGATTCAACTTTTACGGTCTCATTATGTTTATCACGCGCTTGCAAACTATTCTAACTTAAACTTTCAGGGAAAATGTTTTTTAAATAAAAACTGAAACGTAAAAAAACTTCAAAACGTAATAATCACTTTAATGTAGCTTGCGCCAACAGTCCTACACGGAAGCAGCTCCGGGCGCATGACGTATGAGGTCGGCTTTGCGCATGCGCTGCTCAGAAGTGATGCACGCAGAAATGCAGCGGTGAGATCAAAACAAAACAACGGTGAATGGTCACTTACAAGGATTTGTAAAGAAGAATGTCGGAGGATTTCGATATAAGCCAA